GCCCTGGGCGAGCCCCGAGAGGTCCCTGGGCCCTAGGGGGCCTCAAGACAGGGTTCATTCCGATCCGACTGATTCGATTCGAAATTGCTTTCGGCTGGCGCGCTGTTGTGCATCCTGGCGCGGCCGACTCGATTCGATTCCGGCATCGTGCCGATTTAGCCCGAGTCGACGCAATGCCGATCAGATCCGATTAATCGATTCGACGCTGGCCGCTCCTGCAAGATGCCCCCCAGGATTGCCGCATCAAACTCCCAAGGCAGCCTGAGGAGGGCCCCAGGGGAGCCCCAAGACTACCTGACGGGGGAGCGACCTTTGCTGCACCCTGGTGTGGACCCCCAGACTGGGGGCCTCAGAATCCTTCCCAGACGGCCCAGGAGGACCCATGGAGAATTCAAAGATGCCCCAGGATTGTTTCAAGATGCCACGCAAAGCCCCCAAGAATTTCGGAGGCCTCTTGGAGCCATCTTGGGGCTTTGGTTGGGGCCATGCTGGGAGCTGTCGGAGCCCAGTTGAGGGTCTCTTGAGGCCCTCTCGGGGGCTTTGGGGACTCTCTTGCAGACACCCTGGATGTCATCGATCAAACCAGGGGACACTGACTTCCTTCAGTCCTCCCGTCGAAGCCCGACACGTCATCTTTTGGGCTCTGTTTGGACGCTCTCGGGGCGCTCTAGGTGCTGTCTTGGAGCCCTCCTGTGGCTCTCTTGGGAGATCTTGGGGTCATCTTGAGGCCTCGGAAGACTACGCATTGTTCATTTCTGAGTCTTCGAGAGTTCTTTGGGTTTTTTGGGGGCCAAGATCCTCCCATTTCTAATTGTTCTATGCTGGGCCTCTTCCCGGCCACTAGGGGGCAGGGACAATGAGAAACGAGCACACTTAGACATGAGCACGATCAGAATGGAACGACGTGTAGTAGTTTGCGGCCTCTGGGGGCCCTCCCCGAGCCCCAGAAAAACGGGTCGGGAGACCCAGGACTCCGAACTGACAAACAAGTCAGGGGTCGCGACTGCTGCCCCGCGGGTCGTTTGTTGCCCTGGATTTGTGGAAGTCGATTAACGGAGAGGAAGCATGCTGCCAAATAATTCCCAGATGTCTAAAGCATGGTTCAATCATGTTTGAACGATGTAGGAACGTGCTTGAAACATGTTTAGAACATGTTCTATACATTTTAAACGTATCTTGAATTCACTGATAGGACTGTGAGAGTGTCCATTGTCATGGCATCCACAACCCTGGATGCCGGGTCCCAGGAGATCCCGGCCGCCCTGATCTCGGATCTGCCGTACTTCTTGGGCGATTCCTTACGCAGGGGGGCAATCCCCGCCCCACTTTCCAAGCTCCCTCGGCCCTCCATCCTCGCGATCTTCGATCCTGGAACCCTCGATCCCTCGATCCTCGATCCTCGCGATCCTCGACCCTCGCGATCCTCGATCCTCGAACCCTCGTTCCTGCTCCTCGATCATCCTCGACCCTCTGGCTGGTCCTCCCTCGACCCTCGATCCCCCGCCGCCTCGGTCCTCGTCCCTCGCGATCCTCGTCCCTCGCGACCCTCGACTCGAGACCCTCGCGATCCTCGATACTCGCGACCCTTGCTCCCTCGAACCCTTGCTCCTCGATCCTCGAGTCCTCGATCCTCGAATCCTCGATCCTCGATGCCTCCATATGGGGGCTCCACCCAAGAGCCAACTTGTGCCGCCAGTGTGCCCCCCCGGCCGCCCATTTCGGCACACCGGTCACATGTGTCGTGGCCCCGCATGGAGCTCCACCCAAGGTCCAAACTGTGCCGTCCGCGTGCGCCCCCGCCGTTCATGTCGGCACACCCCTCAACCGTTTTGTGGCCCATAGGAAGGAATGCCACCAATGACCCCAGTGGCGCCGTCCGCATGCGTCCCCGTCACATATTTCGACACAGCCCTCACACGTTACGTGGCCCCATAGGGACCTTCACCCAAGGCTCAAATTGTGCCGACCGCGTACGTCCCCGCCAGCCATTTCGGCACACCCCTCGCACGTTTCGTGGCCCCATCAATGGTTCCTTCCGCGTGCATCCCCGCCAATTATTTCGTCGCGTCTTCCCACGTTCTGTGGCTCCAGAGGGAGCTCCACCCAAGGCGCCCATGGCGCCGTTCGCATGCGCCTCCGCCACCAATTCCGGCACACCCCTCACACGTTTCTTGGCCCCATAGGGAGCTCCACCCAGGAGTGCCCCACGTGGTGCCGTCCGCATGCGTTCCTGCCACTGTTGTCGGCACACCCCTCGCACGCTTCGCGGCCCCACAAGGAGCTACACCGAAGGCTTAAGCGGCACCCTCCTCATGCGTCCCCGCCACCCGTTACGGCACACCCCTTGCATGTTTGGTTCCCCCGTGGGGAATTCCACCGAAGGTTCCGGTGGCGACGCGTGCATGCGGTTCCACCCCTCGCACGGTTCATGACCCCACTGGGGGCTACACCCAATGTCCCAGTGCCACCGTTCGCATGCGTCCCCCCTGCCCATCCCTTCACATGTTTCCCACGTTTCGTTGCCCCACAGCCAGCTCCACCCAGCGCCCCATGAGGATATCCATTGAAGGCGATAGCAACAACGATTGTATTTACAACTGGATTTGGTTGAGTCCCTCGCCAGGATAATTTCAAGAGGGGGGGATAAGACAATTTTCACGCCAGGTGGGCCAGCGACGGTGGATCGCGCTCCCTCAGGGGTCGGCACCTCCACCAGTCTTGGAAGTTGCCTCCAGCGAGGGAAGATGGTGATCCTGATTTCGGTGATGGTAGTAAGGTTCGGGCCTCTCAGGTGACCGACAGATCGCCCCCAGCACCAACATCTGAGATCACCTCCCTGAGGAGGTAGCCCCCCGTGTTGGTGTCGGTGTCAACTTGCAGGCCTCCGACCTTCGTCCTACCGCGGCTGGACTCGGCCCGATGGCCAGGCCCCACGAGGGGAGCCTGCGGGGTGCCCTGCGGGAAGCTTTGCGCAGGGGGTCGAGGTCGCGGTCGCAGCGCTGCAGACCTTGCCTTGCGGGGGAGCGCACGGCACTGCGTGCGCTGCTCGGCGGCTGCCCCGGGGATCGTCGTTCTCCGAGGTCCCCCCCCTGGCTTTCTCGTGTCGTTTGGGAGCCCCCGGGGACCTTCGGGCCTCGTGCTCGGTGCCATCTGAGCCTCCCTCCAGGGGAACGAAGACTGGCCCAGACAGAAAACCTCGGAGGTCCGCGCGGATTGCTTGGATCCGCGCTGGACCCCCCCTCCCTGGCGCCTGGCGCGCGGAGCGCGCCAGGGGCGGCGCCGGAGGCGCCGCCAGGGGGCCCCAGCGCCGATCCGAGAACGCCGCGCGCACCTGCGAGTTATCTTGCCTAGTGTCATTGTTCGTGCCCCTATCCCTGGAAATAGTTGGGGCCTTCCTGCGCCAGGCGTGCCCGGGCCACCTCAGGGCGCCCTTGGCCCGTCTCTGTCGCTCTCGGAGGCCGCCGCGGGGGGTCTCTCCGGGTCGCCCAAGGGGGCCTTCTCTTGGGGCGCTCTGCAGCGCCGCCTCGGAGGTCTCTTGCGGCCTTCCTGGGGGCCTCTTCTTGGGGGCCTCTTGGGGGCCTGTCCTCTCCGGTGCCTCTTGGAGGCCCCCTCGGCCGTCTCGGGACGCTCTTGGCCTGACGCTTCTGGGAGGCCGGCTGGCGGTCTCTCTCCGGGTCGGCCCGGGGGCCTTCCCTTGGGGCGCTCTGTGGCGCCGCCTCGGGGGTCCCTTTTGGGCCTTCCTGGGGCTCTCCTGCGGCCGTCTTGGGGGCTTTTTGGGCCCTCTTGGGGCCCTGGACCTCCCATTCCCAGAGGGCCGGTGTGGGTCTGATGGCTCCGGAGAAGCTCTCGATAGTCTGGTTCCGGAGAGCGTCTCACGCTTGTTTCATTTGAAGACCAGAATCAGCACCTACCAGCTCCTGCGAAGCTCCAGGACATGAACGCCCCAAGAGGCCCCCAGACCCTGGTGAGCCCCAAGGCAGGATCCATTTGGATGGGATCTAGTCGATTCGACATTGCTTTCGGCTGGCCCGATCCGATTCGATTCCGCAATTCCGACGATCCGATGCGGCCCGATGCTTGCAAGACGCTGTTGTGCATCCTGGCGCGGCCGATTCGATTCGATTCGATCTGATCCGGTTTATCGATTCGACGCTGGCCGCTCCTGCAAGATGTCCCCAAGGCGGCTCCAGATTGTCACATCGAACTCCCAATGCAGCCCCCAAGAGGGCTCCAGGGGAGCCCCTGGACTGCCCGAGGGGGGTGCGAACTTTGCTGCACCCTGGTGTGGACCCCTCAGACTGGGGACTGGGGGACAAGAATCTTTTCCAGACGGCCCAGGAGGACCCTGGGAGTATTCCAAGATGCCCCAGGTTTGGCTTGGGAGATCTTGGGGTCGTCTTGAGGCCTCGGAAGCCCATCGGAGGCGAAAAGGCGAGAAGGACCGTCACTGAAGCATCTTGGGAGGCTCCGAGGCCACTCGGAGCCGTCTCTGGGCCGCCTGGAGGCCTCCTGTCGGCGTGCCATAGCCCGCAGCGCCTGAGCAGGCGGGGGGCTCGAGCCGAAACGGCTTGAGCTCAACTGGCTATGGCAGGAGGATGACGATGAGGATGAGGATGAGGAGTGAGGAGGAGTAGGAAGAGGAGGAGGAGTAGGAAGAGGAGGAGGAGCAGGAGGAGGACGAGGAGGAGGAGGAGGAGGAGGCGGAGGAGGAGGAGGAGGAGGAGGAGGAGGAGGAGGAGGAGGAGGAGTAGGACGAGGACGAGGACGATGAGGAGGCGGAGGACGAGGAGGAAGAGGAGGAAGAGAAGGAGGAGGAGGAGGAGGAGGAGGAGGAGGCGGCGGAAGAGGAGGAGGAGGAGGGGGAGGGGGAGGAGGAGGAGGAGCTAGGAGGAGGGGGAGGGGGGGGGAGAAGGATCGTCATCAGGACAGGACGAGGTGACTGGAGCGGGCGGTCGACAGCGCGGTAGCACTAGGATGGGGAGAGGGCAGGGCAGGGAGGCGAGCAAGACTCCCAAAGTGCATGGGGCCCTCACGTCGAGGTGTCACTCCAGTGGCACTCTCACGAAGCACGGGGCTGGTGGCCATATCCGTGTTGGCTTGAGAGTTGTTGGTCGACAGGTTGTCTTTCGATCCCCGCACCCTTCTCGAAAACCGGACCTTCTTTACGATACCCGACAGTACGCACTAACGATGGCACATCTCATCGCCGTGCGATTGGCAGTTCTGTGGATGCCGAGTGCAGTCGCGGTCCAGTCCTTAGGGGTGCGTGGCGCGCTCGCCTCATCTGCAACGGTTGTCGCCAGCGGCACAACGAATCTGACCTCCCATATGGACTCGTGCCAATACATGCAGGTCGCTGCATACCAAACGGGCTACATCCAGTTGCCGTACGTGAGCAACATTCGAGCAATATCAATGTGGTTTGCTCCTTTCAAGGACGGAGGCTATGATTGGGAGTACATCTTTGACGCACGCAGTGGACTGGGAGGAGGACATTTTTCTTTTCTGCATTCGATGTCGACGATTCACCACGGCGGCAACTGGTATGGTTCAATCTATGTGAATGGGGCTGCCACCAACACGGCTGGTCTGCTATCCGCTGCCAGTTCTGCCTCGACGACTTACGCGCCATGGATTCACCTGTATGTCGAGGCAGACACAAACTTCAACGACGACATCACGATCTTCGCCCGGTACACCAAAAACGAATACTTGCCTGGGAAGGTTTAGTCAAGAGGCGTACGCCATTCCGCCGACCCTCAGAAGAGGAACGAAATCCACGGGCGAGGTCTTTTGAGTCTAGGCCTCCTGGGTGGGGTCGGAGTAGATGGGGTCGGAGGATTGCGCCACATCGCTGATGCATCGCCAATGCGGCTCGATGCGGGGCCTGATTTCCTCCGCGCCGGCGTCGCCGATGCACCGCCGACGTCGACGATGCATCGCCGGCGCATCGCCGCCGCATCTCCGATGCCTCGCCGATGCATCGCCGATGTATCGGCGAGGCGGCGCGATCCTCCGACCCCATCTACTCCGACCCCATCTAGGAGGCCTCTATATTGAGGGGGCCGGTTGGGGCCTCTGGAAGCTTCTCGTTGGCCTCTTGGAAGCCTTTTGGGCCCTCTGGGAGGTTCCTTCGGAGCCCGCCGGCGGTCTCGGGGGTCCTTGGGGCGGAGGGCTCGGCATGTCGTGCCCCTCTTGGGCCCCATGGGGCCCTCTTGGGGGTCCCTTTGGCCGTCTTGGACGAAGTTGGCGCCAGAACGGCGACGATGCTAGACATGTCATTTTACACTGGGATTGGGGCGATGTTTGCTTCTTTGGGGCCCTCCTGGGGAGTCTTGGACGCCTCTTTGGCCGTCTTGAGGCCATGTTTTATGTTCTTGAGGCCTCCTGAGCGTGTTTGGGCCCAGCTTGAGCCAGCGGGCATGGCATCTTGGACATTCTGGAGGCCTGCGAGTGAGCCTCTGAAGGCTCTTGAGGCTTCGGGGTTGCGTTGGGGAGCTCGTACCCCGCCGCCCCCCTCCCCCTGGCCTCCCCTTCCCCGCCCCCCTCCCTCAAATGCGATGTTGGACCTTGGGCGAGGGGGCCAGGGGGGGCGGGAGACATCCGCATGTCTCGCACGCCGTGTCCCCCCCTTGGGCAGGAGCGGGGGGCGGCGGATTCTGTGCAGCTGTGGCCCTCGGGGCTGTCCTCGTCCGATATCAACAGCGCGATGAACGGAGCGACGACCTCTGTCTCGCCCGTGGCTTCCTATTCCGCGGCCGACTTGAATTCGTACCGAGCGGGGAGCGCGACCCTGGTATCGGCGAGCGGGACGCCAGCATGTCCGCCAGCCTCGGCCGCGGCAGACACGCCCACCCCGACGCCCTTCCCGACGCCCTACCCGACGCCCTACCCGACGGCCTTCCCGACGCCCTACCCGACGCCCTACCCGACGCCCTACCCGACGGCCTTCCCGACGCCCTACCCGACCCTCTCTCCGACCCCCTTCCCGACTCCCTATCCGACCCCTTACCCGACTCCCTACCCGACGGCCTTCCCGACGCCTTTCCCTACGGCCTTCCCGACGCCCCACCCGACCCCCTACCCGACGGCCTACCCAACGGCCTTCCCGACGCCTTTCCCTACGCCTTTCCCTACGCCCTTCCCGACGTCCTCCCCGACCCCCTACCCGACGGCCTACCCAACGGCTTTCCCGACGCTCTTCCCTACGCCCTTCCCGACGTCCTACCCGACGGCCTTCCCAACAGCTCTCCCGACGCCCAGCCCAACGCCCAGCCCGACGTATCCTCAGGGTTGGCCGACACCACATCCGACGTTCCCTCCTGCAGCTCCCATGGCGGCCGGAGCCGGCGCAGGCGTGGCTGCCACCGGTGACCCCCATCTTCAAAACGTTCATGGCGAGCGGTTCGATTTGATGAAGCCAGGCGTTCACGTTCTGATAAACATCCCTCGTGGAACGAGCGTTGAAGACGCATTGCTTCGCGTGCAAGCCGATGCACGCCGAGTGGGTGAACGCTGCGCGGATATGTACTTCTCAGAGATAAACGTTACTGGGTCGTGGGCAGTTACTAAGCAAGTTGGAGGGTACCACTTCAGCGCATCGCAAAGTGATGTCGGGACCCCTGGATGGCTTGCTTTTGGCACGGTTGAGCTGAAAGTCGTTCATGGACGCACGGACACTGGCTTCGCGTACTTGAATGTGTACGTTAAGCATTTAGGGCGAACAGGGTTTGATGTCGGAGGTCTTTTGGGCGAGGATGACCACAAAGACGTGATCATTTCTTCAGGGGCATGTGTCACGCGCACGGAGCTCAGTGCGCGTTCGGCCCCAAGTGGCTGGATCCGTGCTACGTCCTCTGTCGCACTTGCATCCTTTGCTTGACTGGCAGCGTTCGGATTTCAACTAGTGCATGGCTGACGTGCTTTCTACTCATGCCTTCATCGAAGACTGCGCCGGGATACCCTTTTGTCCTTACTGTTTTGCTGCTCCTGCACATGCTTTCAAGCGAGATTTCTACTGCTGTGTCGGATATTCGTGTTGACCAGGATCTATGAAGTTGTGCAGCCGCGGGATTCCGCCCCCGCGCTCGGGCGGCCACCGAGGGGGGAGGCCTCTTTTTGGGGTATCTCGGTGGCCTGGCCTTTCGGGGTCTCCTGGGGGCCTCCTGGGCTGCCTCGGGGCGCTCCTGGCTTGTTTGATGCTTTCGTAGGCCGTCTCGGGGGTCTCTTTGGGTCGGCCTGGGGCCTTCTTGGGGCGCTCCAGCGCCGCCTTGGAGGCCTCCGGGACCGTATTTGGGGCCCTCTTGCGACCGTCTCGGGTGTCTTTGGGGCCCTCTTGGGGCCCTGGGCCACCTGCGTCCAGAGGGCTGGTGGGTCGTATGGCTTTCGATGCTGTGGTTCTGAGGAATGTCTCGCGCTCGTCCCGTCTCAAGACCAGACTTGGCACCCACCTGCTCCTAAGAAGCCCTGGGCGAGCCCCGAGAGGTCCCTGGGCCCTAGGGGGCCTCAAGACAGGGTTCATTCCGATCCGACTGATTCGAAATTGCTTTCGGCTGGCGCGCTGTTGTGCATCCTGGCGCGGCCGACTCGATTCGATTCTGGCATAGTGCCGATTTGGCCCGAGTCGACGCAATGCCGATCAGATCCGATTAATCGATTCGACGCTGGCCGCTCCTGCAAGATGCCCCCCAGGATTGCCGCATCAAACTCCCAAGGCAGCCTGAAGAGGGCCCCAGGGGAGCCCCAAGACTACCTGACGGGGGAGCGACCTTTGCTGCACCCTGGTGTGGACCCCCAGACTGGGGGCCTCAGAATCCTTCCCAGACGGCCCAGGAGGACCCATGGAGAATTCAAAGATGCCCCAGGATTGTTTCAAGATGCCACGCAAAGCCCCCAAGAATTTCGGAGGCCTCTTGGAGCCATATTGGGGCTTTGGTTGGGGCCATGCTGGGAGCTGTCGGAGCCCAGTTGAGGGTCTCTTGAGGCCCTCTCGGGGGCTTTGGGGACTCTCTTGCAGACACCCTGGATGTCATCGATCAAACCAGGGGACACTGACTTCCTTCAGTCCTCCCGTCGAAGCCCGACACGTCATCTTTTGGGCTCTGTTTGGACGCTCTCGGGGCGCTCTAGGTGCTGTCTTGGAGCCCTCCTGTGGCTCTCTTGGGAGATCTTGGGGTCATCTTGAGGCCTCGGAAGACTACGCATTGTTCATTTCTGAGTCTTCGAGAGTTCTTTGGGTTTTTGGGGGCCAAGATCCTCCCATTTCTAATTGTTCTATGCTGGGCCTCTATGGGCTGTTCTTTGTTCTAGACATGAGCACGATCAGAATGGAACGACGTGTAGTAGTTTGCGGCCTCTGGGGGCCCTCCCCGAGCCCCAGAAAAACGGGTGGGGAGACCCAGGACTCCGAACTGACAAACAAGTCAGGGGTCGCGCCCGTTGCCCCGCGGGTCGTTTGTTGCCCTGGATTTGTGGAAGTCGATTAACGGAGAGGAAGCATGCTGCCAAATAATTCCCAGATGTCTAAAGCATGGTTCAATCATGTTTGAACGATGTAGGAACGTGCTTGAAACATGTTTAGAACATGTTCTATACATTTTAAACGTATCTTTAATCCACTGATAGGACTGTGAGAGTGTCCATTGTCATGGCATCCACAACCCTGGATGCCGGGTCCCAGGAGATCCCGGCCGCCCTGATCTCGGATCTGCCGTACTTCTTGGGCGATTCCTTACGCAGGGGGGCAATCCCCGCCCCACTTTCCAAGCTCCCTCGGCCCTCCATCCTCGCGATCTTCGATCCTGGAACCCTCGATCCCTCGATCCTCGATCCTCGCGATCCTCGACCCTCGCGATCCTCGATCCTCGAACCCTCGTTCCGGCTCCTCGATCATCCTCGACCCTCTGGCTGGTCCTCCCTCGACCCTCGATCCCCCGCCGCCTCGGTCCTCGTCCCTCGCGATCCTCGTCCCTCGCGACCCTCGACCCTCGCGATCCTCGAT